CTCAGCCCCCCCCCCTAAAACAAACTCAGCCCCCCCCCCCCGAATCGAAATCCTGGCTACGGGCCTGACTGGATGGCATATGTTCATATGTTCTGTATCAGAAATTAGAGCTGATGTGGTTTATCCAATGCAAATAACCCCAAATAATCAAATTGAATCTAAAGTTGACCAAAAACTGATTCGTAATCTTTTTGGTACTAATGCTGGAGTGTGGTCCACCGGTCAAGTGGTCCCTGCTGCATAGTTATGGCTGCCTAAAACATTCATAGCTCCATCCAATGGAATCATGGCATTTGTGGTGAACTAGAGCTCTCCAAGCAAGAGTTCTTTAGCGAATAATACCAAGTGTCTTAACAAACACAAACCCCAGGATTCTACAGAACAGCATTATGACAGTTAATGTTTGGTGAAACTGATATAACTATGTGGTGCAGATATGCTCCGGGTCTCCTATCCTACCACTTTTTAATTTCCTGTCTCTAAAGCAGCACAAACCCCGATCTAGACAAAAACCTGGAGGCCTATTTCTCTCTTACATTTTCAACCTTGCTATAAATCAAGCACATGCAGAGCTTTGATATCAAAACAGAATTAGCATAAGGCTGTCTTAGAAGAACAAAGCTTTATCCCAGAAAGTTACAGCAATGGAACATGCCACAGCCCACACATTTTCATATTGCTAAGTCCAGGCCATTGTTTGTAAGAATAACCCATCTTCTAATTTTAAACTCTGCCTCTTATTTTTAACTCTAATTACCTTGAAGCAGAATTTTATATTAAGATAAAATACACACACTCCACCATGAGCACAGCTGTGATGTAGAAATTGTCACGTGGACTTGCTTAGGGCTCTATGAGTCATTTTCGAAGTGAGACTCAACTTCTTCTTCCAGTGACTGTAAGCTATCTGTTATCAGGAGGGTCTTCCCTGAAGTGAATGAGTATAATCAGTGTCCACAAATATATAGTTATTGTATTCTTTCCCATCATAATTTCACCCTGTTAGAAAACAATAGCAACACTAAATTTCAACCTAAACTTCCATATATATCATTTGCTAACCATTCACCTGTGATTCTGCGATGTTTCCCTTATTCAATGGCTTCCATCATCCCTTGAGTATCAAATTCCATCACAACATAAGAACAAAAATATAAAAGAATATCAATGGGCAGTCATATGTTAACTGCTAAAAAATAGGTGAACAAAATGGGAGTCCCTAGAGCAGGAATAGGAAAACTTTCTAACTTGGGGGCCTCATTGTGGGCCGGAGCAGAGGGGGCAGGCCAGGAGGAAGGGGGCTCTTCCAAAGTCCCCCCTCCTGCCCTTCTCCCCTTCCTCTTCTCTTTTGGAGGCATAAAGTGAAGGAAAGACAGGAAAAATTTCGTGTTGGCCTTGGTCAGGATGAGATGGTGGACGGGAGAGAAAAAGTGTATCTATGAGACCCTGTATTGCATACTCCTGATATAGAATCCTAGAGATGGAAGAGACCCTCAAGGGCCACCCAGTCCAACCCCCTACCACGCAAGAAAGCATAATCAAGGCACTCACAATAGACAGCCTCTGCAGAAAAGCCTCCAAAGAAGGAGACTCCACCACACTCTGAGGCAGCTTATGCCATTCTCCAACAGTTCTTACTCTCAGGAAGTTCTTCCTAATCTTTTCAGTCAATTCTCTTTCCCAGCAATTCGAAATCATTGCTTCCTTGTGCCCTGGTCTCTAGAGCAGCAGAAAGTCAGTGTTTCTCTTCCTCCTCTTCCTCCTCCTCCTCAATGGGATACCCTTTAAAATCTTGAAACATGGTTCTCATTGAAAGGAGGAAGGAAATAGAGACGGAAGAAAGAGAGGGAGGGAGGGAGGGAGGGAGGGAGGGAGGGAGGGAGGGAGGGAGGGAGGAAGGAAGGAAGGAAGGAAGGAAGGAAGGAAGGAAGGAAGGAAGGAAGGGGAAAGAATGAGAGGGAAGGAGGGAGAAAAGAGGGAAGGAAGGATGAAAGGGAGGAAGGGAAGAAAGAAGGGAAGGAGAAAGAGGGAGGGAAGAAGGAAGGGAAGGGACAGGAAGGGACATGACAGGAAGGGACATGACAGGAAGGGGCATGACGGGAAGGGACAGGATGGGACAGGATGGGGAGGGAAGGGAAGGGACAGGACAGGATAGTTAGAGAGAGGAGGGGCTGAAAAAACAGCCCAAGGGGGCGCATCCAGACCCTGGGCCTGGGTTTCCCAATACCTGCCCTAGAGTCACTTTTGTAATCTCCAGGCTCCCACAATGGTCTTGGTTTTTTTGTATGTTTGTTTGTTTGTTTGTAAAATTATCTTTTATTTCAAAGAAAAAATGCCTCCCAAATGGCCCTAAAGGTTGTAAGGGGCATTTTCACTGAGTTTTTGGCTGTCCAGGACATCTTAGGACCAGGAAAGTTTTGAAACAGGAAATCTAGAGAAAGTGTTTTCTGCATGTTTTAATCTCCTAGGACTAAAACATGGAAAAAATGTCCATGTGTCCATTACAATACTGCTTCTTAAACTGTGGGTCCCAACCCCAAATAAGACCCCTCTTGGTTCAATATTGGGGCCACAAAAACGGGCAACAGTAAAAGGTTTTTGAATGCCATTCATTTACCCAAATCTGTTAGCAATAACTTGTAGTGTTCTGGAATGTGTAGAAAATGCTTCAGCTGTACTTAAAAAAAGAGAAAATCAATCTGTATAGCAAATCTTTCAAATGCTGATTTGTTATTAGTAAAGGTTTGGTTTTTATGCCTATTTTATATACTTATATATCTAGAGTCATGTAAAAAAAATTAGCCAGAAAGGAGTCACGAGTGGAAAATGTTTAAGAAGAGGGTGTTTGGGGATGAAACAGATACATGTTGAGGGGGATACAGCTCTCCAAGGTCTTTGAGAGGGCTAATGTGGCCTTCTTTCCTTCCAGAGCTGCCTACCCATGTATTAAAACAGATTAAATGAGCCAACCCCAAAGCTACAAGGTTGTCACTGCAATGTTTTTTTCTGCTGTCCTAAAAGAGACAAATGATAACTCCATGGTGGGGAAAGGATATTCTACATTACTAGAGCAGGTACTGAAGAGGTCATGCTCTGAGCGATTGCTACCCTTGTATCTGCAACAGATGGGATCCTGAACAGCCTGCACAACCATCTGATGAATTCAATAGACATAACTCATTCTGGATGGGTCCCAAAATTAACATTCTGGAATATTTGGCTATAAAAGGCATTCCCTGGGCCCATTCCCTACGTGCATTAATGATGCAGGAACTTAAAATTATAATGCTAGCTGCCCTTAAAAATTTTACAATCACATATATTGCAGACTTTGACATTCTCAACACCTGTGCAAGCAAAATTTCATGCTGCTCAACATACAAGCACTGAATCCCTGCCTTAAAACTCTGATCTCTCATATAGGCAGCAAAAGGATTCTCAAAAGCTACAATTCTGATAATGCTAGCCTTGTTCTTATTTCTCATTACTGAAAAACAAAAAAAAAGTTTTTGAAATAAAAGAGAAAGGCAGCAAGCGTAAAATGACTTTAACAGGAATATCCACAACTAGTGCAAAAAATAAAAATAAAACCATGTACAAAGAGCAGACAGGATTAACTCCTAACACAGAGCCTTTGGCTTTTTTCTGATTCTCCTTTTTGCCTCTTTGAACACCAGCTATATATTTCCCGCCACATTAACAGCAAGGAAATGCTTAAGGCCAGTGTGAACTCCTCTAATAAGGTAGGAACATTACTCTTCCTTCCATCTTTTTCAGGAGCCCCCAGTGACACAGTGGGTTAAACCCTTGTGCCGGCAGGACTGAAGACCGACAGGTCACAGGTTCGAATCCGGGGAGAGGGCAGATGAGCTCCCTCTGTCAGCTCTGGCTCCCCATGCGGGGACATGAGGGAAGCCTCCCACAAGGATGGTAAAACATCAAAACGTCCGGGCGTTCCCTGGGCAATGTCCTTCCAGACAGCCAATTCTCTCACACCAGAAGCGACTTGCAGTTTCTTAAGCTGCTCCTGACACAACAAAAAACATATTTTTCACACAAAAAGTATTTTGCTTTCTAAAACACATATCTAAATCTTAAAACTTGACTATAATTAAGAGAACAGCAGTAGAATAATTTTTCCTGATCCTGGAAATACAGTAATAAAGCACTGTCCAGGGTCACACACATGTTCCTGCAATACTTAATAGATCGGGAATGGGCAAACTTGGGGGCTCCAGGTGTTTTGGACTTCAACTTCCACAATTCCTAACAACCTCAGGTCCTTTCCTTTTCCCCCTCGACCCTCTTACTCTGCACATATTTTGTGGTTACAAACAGGCCATACAGACATTTTTGGTATACAGATTATGTAGCTGAAGCTAGTGCACATGGGCCCTTATCCATGCATTATATTCAATGCCTGTATTTTAGGAGAGCTCAGAAGAAAGATAGATGAGAGGACACAGGATTCACTGGCTTATTTTTGTACTGTCTGAAGCTGGTCTGTTTTTCTCTCACCAATGGCAAAACATTATCAGACACAAACCTTTTGAGTCTACAGTGTTCAGAGAAGTAGTGATAAGAAACAAAATAATCCTTCGCTTATAATGGTAATTCTGTAGCATATTTTAGTGAAACATACACACATACGCAAGGAGGAGCCTCAAGAAGCCAAAGACGTCTGTTTGGGGTTTTAGTATGGATCTGCTCCTTTAACTGTATTGTGAATGTGCACTGGACAATGTTTTTATTGGGAGACGTAATTGATGTATGTTTTTAATCTTGTTGTGTATCAAATAATAATAATAATAACAACAACAACTCCTATTCATACACATTTTGCCAAACCAAGGTTGCATGTGGCCAAAGAATATCAAAACCCCACTTGCTTATCAGGATTCCAAGCGCTTTGAATCATCAAGTTATTTGACACGAGTATTTTGATCCAGACTGTTTTTCTCTCTTTTCCTAGATTAAAACAGTACTTAGAATTCACTAACCTCACTGTTGTGGCCCCTTAAGTTGAAATTGATTCTTTGTGGCGTGTTCCTGTCTCTTCTACAGTGGCTGGAAGTAAAGGTAACGCCAACGACTCCTCGGCCATTTCCGGTTGCCAGCCAGCCTTCCTCATAATAGCGCCTCCGGCACACAGGTTTCTCCTTTTCACTTTTAGGAACTCTGCCTTTCCAAGAGAGGCAGAGGATGTTGGAGTCGCTGCAGAGAACAGGCCCATGTTCCACAGCTGCATACATGCTTCACTGTATTTTTTCCTTTTGAAATAGGAAAGTACTGCGTCTAGTGCAGGAAATGTGAATCTTTTGTTTTGTTGATACGCCCAAAATTTCAGACAGATCCAAATATGAGGGGTGGGAAAAAGAAGAAAAAGTCAGTTTTTATAAATATCCACCAAATGCATAGTGAAAAATTTCTCTATAAAAGATGATGACAGTTGGCTAAGAAAATGTAATGCTTAAAAAAACCAAAACAAATTGGGTTCATTTTGATTTAGTCGTAAGAGTGAGGGCACACTTATCCTTTGGAGAAACAGCAACTGCTGGAGAGGCGCTCAAGGAAGCGGCAAGTCGCCTTTTGATCAATTGGATATAACCATCGTACAGCCTGAGATTTCTAGTATAGCTTCACGCAATTCCAGAGACAAAGGTTTGCAGATGTGTAGGTTTCAAGTAACTTAAGGCTTTAAAGATTTTCTCCAGTTGGATTTTCATAGGTATGCACATGGGACATTCATTCAATCTTTCCCCAAATCCATCCTCGGACACAACTTCCCCAACAGACACATTTCTGCCGCTAAAGCTGAAACAGATTGCATAAAGATGGGAAGGGGGAAGGCACACAGACCACGTGAGACCACAAACCAAAGTTTTGTGCAGTTAACAATGTGCCAGGCCAGACAGAAAAGCCCTTTCTGAACTCCACTGCTCACTGTTCAACCCAAGCGCTTTTGCAATCCAAAGGCAATCCCATTTCCTTGGCAGCTTCCACAGGAGTCTCGGTTCATCACACTGTCTTGCCTGCCTCCTCAGGACCTGATGCCACATGTAGGCATGAGAACAAACGTCCCTTCTCATTTAGCAGTCTGTTTTTTAAAACACCCTGGTACTTTTAAGCTTTTAAAGCAGATATGTTCACCTCGAGTGAACCATGAAATTTTCTCCAAAACATCAGGCTGTTCAATGCCTCTGTCTTTTCCCTTTATGCTGCAAGAAGAGAATCACAGAACTTGCTTTTCATCTTCTTATAAAAACAAGTGCCAGAGCTAAAAGCACATCCAGTCAGCAATTACTTGCTGATCCCGCAGGATTCAAGACAGGAGGAAGAACAGCCAACAAAAACAAAAAAGGGGAGAGGATCCACACTCAGAAAAAAAATCCAACTTGTCTTCCTTTTAGAATCTATAGGGATGTGTTCTTTGCTTGGTCAATATGCTTTCTCTCATAGAGCACAGAGTCATAGTTTCAACCAACTGATTTGAAGTTGTAGAACGTTGTCTAAAAATGTTCAAATGTTGTATGTAACATTTATGGACAAATATTTATCAGCGTTTGTAACATTGACAAGAATCAAAAACAAAACAAAAGGGGAGCAGAGAAGAGAAAGGAGCGAATCCCATTGCAAAACTCATCACAAGATATTAAAGTCTCAGGAGTTCAATCTCTTAGGTCCGTTCCACTGCTCCACAAATGACTTTTTCAGAATCTCACCCACCTATCAATATTTGTAACTGTTAAATTAGCAAGCATTTTAAATCCTGCTGAAATGCACAAGAAACATGAGCATTATTCCTCTTTTGGGGATGACGATACCAATCTCTTACAAACTGTTTCATTTTCATAGAGGTATTTGTGTCATTTCCACTATGCTGAGAGAGTGTCGTCTTCTGCTACTACTTGTATTTTTCTTTCCACGCGTTATAAACCAGAAGGAGAGTTGACCATTGTTAGCAGATGGCATTCCATGGGCTTTTGGTCCTTATGCTGCCAGGTTGCTCCATCTGGTCCTTGAATTAATTTTCATCAATTGCTAAAACTATCTCAAGTATGTAACTGCCAGTCTCGGTGGCTGCAGATATGTATGCATGTGTTGTATGCACAGTATGCACAGGCACTCTGTCAACTTGGTAATTTCGGCTGCATCTGGCTTCACTGTTTAGCTATCGCAGTCTTGTAAGCCATCTGTCCTTCAAAATCAGGGCTTCTTGGGTGTTTCTAATCTGTAAAATAAAAAATAAAACATTATAAACATACACACATACTGAAATCATATTGTTTAGCTACATACTGTCATGTATGATAATACAAACACTGTTTCGCTAAACCTATTCAGTGAATACTAAATTCATTACTTCAAACAATTTTCTTGACTATTACAAAAGTATTTTTGAAAGGTTATGACTCCATAGAAAAAGAAATTGACAGACACATTGTATATAACTGTAGATCAGAACTATTAAGTGGGGTAGGACTACTGAAAATGAAGCAAGACAAACACAGACACAATAATGACTATAGGTTCCAAAAAGACACATGAAATTTCAACAGCAAGCTTTTCAAGAAGAGATACACTACGACACACACATACCCCATCCGTGGAATAGATATACACTTATTCCCTTAAGGCCTCCTATAGACGCCACACCCTGTTTTTAGTAACTCTCTCATTCATTGAAAATAAAGCCTCACATATGAAACAAAGTCCAGGAACATATCCACATGGATATGGCGGTTATACTATAGTCGATTCCTCAAGATCAGGAAGGGCACTCAAAAATTCAAAAGGATTTATCAAATAGTATAGTTCCACCAAAATTGACATCACCATCTGCAGGCAACCATGACTGCAATTTCCACAGCTATCTACAGTGTAGTGCAGTGGTGTCCAACCTTTGATCCTCCAGGTGTTAGACAAGTCAATGAACAGCGCAGAACCTGGAGCCCCAAACACCTGGAGGACCAAAGGTTGGACACCACAGGTGTATGGGTGTGTGCCATAGGATCCACCCACAGAACGTGGAACTGAGAGGCAGAGAATCTAACAGCATTTCCATTAATGCACAGGTGTTCTGCTCATAATATTCATGACAAACCGATCAGCAACTGAGTCAGTGAACACAAAGAAAAGGGGTGAAATGTACCATGTGTTATCCATCCTTGTTTTAAATTTTGTCAATTTTACCTAGCCTTGCCCTAAACAGAAGCTAAAACTAATAGTCATGAGTCTAAAGAGCAGTAGAAAGAAAAGGGAGAAGAATGTAGATAGCTCTATGCAGAAAATTAATTGTTGCCCCCCCCTTCAAAAAGGTAAAAACTCTTGAGTAATTATTATCTAACAGAAGATTCAGCATTGACTCCAAAGTTGTTAATAACCCTTTTCATATTGCCTGAGTTTCAACAAATAACTTTCAGAAACGTGAATTAACTATTCTCCAACTGCACCATTACACACTTAACACAATTTTATTTTAGTACAGTAAACAAATGTATTTCTATGTGCCTAGTATTAGAAGAGGGCACTGTAACCTCCTACATAATTCTCAGTATGTTCAAAGGAGATAAAGAGCTTATACGCGAAAGAACGGAGAAAGTAAAACAACAATTTCCTCTTCTTTTTGTTTTGAAACTAGAAAAGCATTTCCTGAATATATAGCTTTAACATTGTTTAAAATGTGAAAAGGCCAATTCAATTAAAGAGATACATAATACATCTTTTTTATTCTATTTAAATCCACGATTCTTCACTTATGAAACCTGAACATTTGTAAAGCTGTTACATGAGTTTCCTCTTGTTGCAGATGATTGCACCTGTCTCCTTAAGATTGGTGCAACTATAACCAGACCTCCACATTAGCTGGATGTAGAGGTGCAACACTCCAGTGAAAGTGGGAAAATTGTGGGTTTTTAAAAATCACTTTTTAAAACTTAAGATAATACCTCTCCAGGAATTTCTAGGTCCTCCAGTGTGATTCTATGGTCAACTTCTGGCACAAGATGGCCACAGGGTTGCACCAGAGTACCTAGAGATTCCTAGAGAGAACATTTTAATCAATTCCTCAATAGCCAAATCTGCAAATATGGAAGGTTGACACCATCACATTAAGTATAAACTTGTTCCTATTGTGATGTTTACTGTTTTGTTTGGAAGAGGAAGGAGTATGATATCAAATCATTCACTCCCAATGGCAGAATCAATTCAGCTAGCCAAAGGAAAAAGGAGACCCTGCATCAAGGGACCATCCTGTTCATCCTCAGAATAAGCTCTTATCTGCTGGAGGACCCTCGGAGCATATTCTGTGTGTGAGGGAAATTACACACAGCTGAGGAAGAAGGAGCCGTCATTATACACAAACTGGTTGTACTCCTAGGTCTCACCACACAAGGATCTTTCCTAATCAAAAAGCTGTATGTGTCATTGTGCACATGAATGCACGCACAAAGAGACGTCAATGCAAACAATAGCACTGTGAAATCTCAGGCCAAAATCCAATTACAAATCCCAACTTGAGTAGACTCAATGAATAAACAAAGTTATACAAGCGTTGACTTCTCCCATTCAGCAACTGATTCAACATACTCACTCTAGTTCAGCCTAGCAATTGGATTTAGACGGCTGCTTTCCGGCCACCTTTCACCTACAACCTTTGACGTATGTTGCTGGCAAACAGAAACAGCAATCTTTTAAAAATTGTCTATATAGTTTCTGCTAGTATTTTTTACCCAAATTATCATTCCTATATCTGTATCTTCTGGTATTGTATACTTTCCCAATCTGCAGGACTGCCAATCTAATTCATGGGCACTACTGATAGCACCCAAACAACAATCTTGCAGTTTCATTTTCCCCACATTATCCTCAAATGCCTTCACTTGTTCTCTTGAGTAAGGATGCCTTCATATTCTTCTCCTTACTAGGAATTTTAATACACCCTTTCAAGAAAACAACATTATGACTGAGAACAATCGACAAGTGTTTTCAAAATGCTTTTTAAAAATCTTTTAAAATGCGCTCCATTAAGGCCTGAAACTACTGTCATATTAGTGGATGCCTGGCGATACAAAAAAATTCTCCCTCTCCTTTGGAAATGGGTGTTGGAGTCTGGCGAGCATCAAAGGATTTTTCTGAATGTTCAGAGTATGAGTTGGCTGGGGATGATGGGTTTCAAATTTAAGAATCTGTGAGTGATCAGAGGGACAGACTTACAGGCAGGCAAGGCTGACGTTTTGGATTCTTCAGCTCGTTCCTTGGAAACGGGAAAATGAAAGTGCCAGTTCCCTCGAGAAAAGGCCTTGGGAAGACGAGGAGCTTTCAAGGGAGAATAGATCAGACCTGAGAACGCAGAGTGTGAAAAGCTAACAAACTAGATTTTCTCAAAGGCTCTGAAATAAGGCCCAGAGATCCAGATGTGTGAAGCATGATGTCATGGGTGGCTTGGAGAGTTTAAATTAAGCAGCATGTTTTCAGGCCTTTCAGAGGAGACAACATTGCTAAAGGAGTACCTAAAGGAGATCGCTCTTAATAATAATAACTACTACTACTACTACTACTACTACTACTACTACTACTACTTTATTTTTGTATCCCACCTCCATCTCCCCGAAGGGACTATGGGCAGCTTACATGGGGCAAGCCCAAAATTCAACATCGCTAAAATGTAACAACAACATTCATAAAAACATTTCAAACAATATAAAACAACCACAGAATACAATACTTAGTGAACATCTAGCCACTTTCAATGGTCTGACAAGGGCACTGTACTGACTTCAGGCAGGCAACTGGTGCAGATCAGTTGCCAAAGAATTGGATTGATGGATAGGATTGTTGGATCCGTTTATGATCTTAAGTTCTTGGTTCATGTATTGTCAAGATTCCTGTTTCATGTTCCTATTCCTGCCTGTTTTACCTTGGGGAAGTTCCTGTTTTCATGTTCATTGATATACCTTTTGATTAATTCTGTGATTTTCGATTCCTTGTCTTTGTATTCCCTGGCATTTGTGGATTACTGCTATTGAACTATTTTGAGAACTGCATTTTCTATTTAACTGACCCTTTTTGGATTTGCTCTTTTCAGTATTATATACTTTTAAAAATAAACATTCTTTTATTAGATTACTGGACTCAGTGTGGTGTTGGGTGAAAGTGTGTTCCAGTGCTAGTTACTCAAATCTCAACAGAAAATTCATTTGTATTTCACAGACACCTCCCACACATCAGGATGGTCAATTTTATACTCAATATTTGTAATAACTTTGTGCATTGAACACAGTTTGTGTGTGTTGAACCATCAGAAAGCAGAATTCCTAAATGCAAAATACTCCAAAAACCAAAACTGTCCATATGTGTGGCTGAGATAGTTACATCTTTATTTTCCAATGCCTCAATGAGTAAAAGCTTTGTGGCATGCAGAAAATTATTAAAAATATTGCATACAAAATTATCTTCAAGCTGTATGTATAAGAGGAAAATGAAACATACATGAATTTGCTATATAGACTGGAGTCCCATCTCCAAGATATAACATTATGTACGTGCAAGTATTCTGAACTCTGAAAAAAATACGAGAAAAGGAACACCTTTGGGAAGCAAGCATTTCAGATAAGGGATACTCAAAGTGTATTCACATTATGTTTGCCCCCAGTTCTTTCAGGGAAAATTGTAATGAAATCTGAGCAAGAAAAAGAGTACATACAATGTACAAAAGAGTAAGAAAAATGTATCTGTAGAGTTGCAAATAACAACATTTCCCTTTCATGTATCAAAAAGGTCACTAGCACAAAAAGACTGTTTTGGAGGATAGGGCAAACAATTGTCAAAACTGTTTTCTCAAACTTTTTGAAAGGAAAAAAGGACATCAGCTCCATGCAAACGGCACCAAAACTGAGGGACAACAAAGTCTTCTCTCATTTTCCCAGACTGGCCAAAGATAATTTCCTTATGTTAAACACTCATGGTATTTTCATAATATTTTCACATCAATTATTAAAATATTCTACAGACAAAGTATTTCCTTAAAATCCAAGAGTTGATACAATGTATGCTTGCAGTGCAAAAACTTACAAAATGACCAGCCTCACACTGGAAGAATTAACATAATGGCAAATTATGAGAAGAACTCCATGATATTGTATTATCATTTCTCTATCAAAATGTCTTATTACGAGTCTGCTCTTAGCTTCTAAAATGAATAGGTGAAGACTGATGTTCTGCCCTCCTGCT